GCCGAGGTCACACGTGACCTGCGAGGCGACTCGGGGCGGCGGCCAGAGCAAAGCACCTCCACAGGCTGAGGGCCGGCCTGTAGCCAGGCAGGGCCGACAGAAGCGAAGGGGGGGGCAAGGGCGCAACGGCCATCCCCGACGCAGGCAGTGACGGCGGAGGGCCGCCGAGGCCGGCGGGCCGAGGCATCCACACACACACACACACACATACACACACACACACACACACACACACACATACACACACACGCACGCACGCACGCACGCACACACACACACACACACACACACACAGATACACACACACACATACACACACACACACACACACACACGCACACACACACACATGTTTCAAGTCGGCGGCGCGGAGGAGCCTCAGGTGCGGTCGGCAGGTGGAGGTGCCAATTGCAAACGAACTTAGTCGAACGCGCCACGATTAGACAAACCAGCCACGGCCATGCAGACTGGTGGTGGGAAAAGAGAGGCGCTGCCAAGCCAAGGTGCAGCGGCCAAAGAAAGTACGAGCGAAAGCTCGACGCAGGAAGTTTGAAGCGCAACCAGTCTGGTGCAAGGCACGAGCTAAACATTGTTTTCGCGATTTCGTGGACCACTTCCGTTTCGATGTCGGTTTGCAGCGAAGGGAGGAACGAAGGCAGAACGAGGGAAAACGAAAACAAAACGAAAACAGAAAGCATTGTTTAGCTTGAGCCCTGGTCCGGTGCCATTTCAAGCCTAAGGCCTGCAAGGCTGCCAGACCAGCCAACTTGGTGGTGGTGCATACACACAGGGAGCTGCGCGACAAAGCAAAGCCACCAGCCTTGCAACGGGCACGAACCACGTAAGCGACCGCGCAACATAATGCAAGAGGTCGGTGTGACAAAAATGATCACGCGACCGAGGCTTGCACATCCTTAGACCACCAATTACATAGCTGAACGCGGGCGACCGCGAGCAGCAATCGCGAAACGCGGCGGCGCACATGGGTGGTGGACAGGCGCGAGCATGGCAATGGGTGGTGGACAGGCGCCAGCATGGCCAACCTGCAGTGAGTGCGCCAGTGTTAAAGCAGCAACCCCAACGCAGCCAAAGCCGCGAAGAGCTACCATGAAGGCAGGTGGGAGCAACACATAAAGATGAGTAACCACCTAGGATCAAGAGAGACTGTACGCGTCATCTCAAAGGTCGCACCACCCGACCAAAGGCGACAAATTGAAAAGAAGGACGAGCGAAGCGAACCCGCCAACGGGCTACACCAACGCATAGATGCCAGCAGTCAAGCTGACACACAGCCAAAGCCAGCAGGAGATGCGAACCGCAGCCCCAGGTGCGGACGCGCGCCCCAGGTGCGATGCAGGAAACCAGAACTTTCTCCGACGGAAAGACCCCACATGAAAATCCTTTCGGCGAATCTGGAAATAACCTTCACTGTCGTCCTCGCGATTGGCGAGGCGCCCTTATTGTCTTCTCTGCGTCATGATCACTCTCGCCCTGGCGCAGGGCGCTCACCCGCTCCCCGCGTTGCCCTTGCCTCGCCCTCCTGCTGCTTGTTTCGTCACCCACCACTTCCTCTCCTGTCTATTGCAAGAGCGCGCGCGTCGATTTTCCTCGACGCCGCCGCCGCCTCGGCCAGCGCGGGCGCATTTTCGAATGGCCGCGTCGCGCGGCCGTTGGGACAAGCCCGCGGGCCAGGTTTCACCCCTGCCCCCGATTCGGCTGACGATGGGTTACCACCGCCAGCCCAGAGACAAGGGTTCCCCCCTGCCCCCGCTATGACCGAGGATGGGTTACCACCCCCGGCCCGGATGGAAGGGTTTCCCCCTGCGCCCGGCCGCCGTCGTCGTCCTCACTTCCTGTTCATCCTCTTCTTCCTCACCTGATGGGTCGGGCGAATCGCTTTCTGAAGAGCGCACAGGGAGGGGGCTCCCGCCGGAGACTTCAAATTTCACTCAAAGACGAGGCCACGCGCCTGATACTTCCTCCATATGCGGGCTTCGGGAGCCACAAAGTGACGACAGTTACAGGGATGAGGATGACCCGCTCGGATTAAAAACATGAAGTGCGAGCCCCATGGGGAGGGGGCTCCCGCTTAAGATTTCCTTACAGTTCACTCACAGACAAGGGACCCGCCTGATATTTCCCCCATATTCAGGCTTTAGGAACCTAAAAGTGACGACGGCTACAGGGATGAGGATGACCCGCTCAGATTAAAGACATGAGTTGCGAGCCCGCCCCACGGGGCGGGGGCTCCTGCCCGAGACTTCCTTACAATTCACTCACAGACGAGGCTCCCGCCTGATATTTCCCCATATTCAGGCTTCAGGAACCAAAAAGTGACGACGGTTATCGGGATGAGGTTGACCCGCTCGGATTAAAAACATGAAATGCGGGCCACATATGGAGGGGGTTCCCGCCTAAGACTTCCTCACAATTCACTCACAGACGAAGCTCCCGCCGAATACTTCCCCCATATCCAAACTAGCGAATGAGTGGGTGAGTGAGTGAGTGAGTGAGTGACTACATGAGTGATGATGAAGATGAAGACGATGCAAATAATGAGCGAGTGGGAGAGTGAGTGGGTGATCGAGTGATGGTCGAGGTGATCAAGATGGTCCGTGTGTGAGTGAATGTAAGTGTGAGCGAGCGTGTGAGTGATGACGACGACGATTGTGGTGATGACGATGATGAGTGCAGGGGTGGGTGGGGTGGATGAGTGAGTGAGTGAATGGGTGATTGAATGATGGTAATGATGCTACCGATGTTGAAGATGATGTGGTGGTGATGTTAGTGATGTTGATGGTGATAAGTGTGTATGAGA